GTGACAGTGAACGTGTTAATAAGTAAATGTTGTTCAAATTATGTCGTGTTATATGTCATTTTCATCAGCAAAAATCTCATCAATATGTTAAGAAAGATTTCGGGATAAAAAAACGTAAAATTAAAAAAGTTGATATTTAAATCGCTTGGTTGCCTCCATCTTTTATTCGCTGTCCTTGTCTACGTTCGGCAAAGTACAAAGGCGGGAGCGAGGCTCGAAAACGTAGTCCCTGACTCTACGAGTGTCAGGTTTAGTTTCCTTGCGGTCAGACATTTGTGGAGAATATACTGTAAATTAATCGTCTAGATACCCCAAAGCTCCTTCAACGCATTTTAGATGCTCAGAAACCCAATAATCAATGTTAGAAACAGCGGCAATGACAATTAAAAAGTCTTTATTATCACACAAAAACCTTGTTCAAAGTGATCGACAGTGCAAGTTTTGAAGAGACGTTTAGTACTTCAAACGTTCAGACGCTTTGCAATATGTTAATCTTTGCTGTTAAGAACTCGACAATTCGACCAACACAGAACACTAAATTACAGAATAAATCAACGACATTACACTTCTCGATATCACTTGTATTCACTTTCAACTTGCACAAACACAATTGTTTTCGACATAAACGTTCGTTTGTACATGATTCTCGCTGCGTTTAAGAGTGGTGGTCGAAAGCGTTCGGCAACGCTCGGAACTATTCGAGTATCTTCGATACGAAATATTCTAAAGTCAAATTGGACACTTTCTGCCACTATGTCATAGATTTTTAAACGTTAAAATGTTAAAAAATCGAGTCAAATTGCTGGGTACCTAACAAGGGGACATCTCGAAGTGATAATTGACATCGTGCGTCTTTTCATATAAAACCATGGGCATTGTAATCTTATTCTATGCTGAATCGGTAACGTTGGGAGCGACACGAAAACGATGAGAGCTCTCGTAGTCCAAGATGTAAGATCTATCCTGTACCACGTCTGTGGTCCTATAAACTGATTGGTTTACCGTGTACCTTGTCTGTAGTACAATTTTCAATTAAAGCAATTTTATAAATAATAATAGTAAAGAAATTCTACAAAGTATCATACGAGCAAACGAAAACGTAAGGTTATCCATTACTTTATTCTATAAAAATAATAAACATAATTTAAGGTTAGAATTTGTTAAGTATTTCATATTGGTTGCCTGCATTTCTCTTCTTTGCAAAGGTCAGACTTGTAGAAATTTTGGTGATATTTGGTGCCATGATTGTATACCTGAAAAGATATATTTTGCCATTCTGCAAGTTGGATAAATTTGCGAAGGTTCAAAAGCAATTCGTTAGATATGATTCTTTACAATCTTCACCTAAAATATTAGAACATCTAAAATGTAAAAGTTTACTACGGGTTAGAGGGAACGAGGCTTCAAGTTTCTTGCAAGGATTGATTACAAATGATATGAAGCATTTCGAAGAAGGAGCGGCCAATATATATGCATTATTTTTAAATATTAAGGGTAGAGTAATGTATGATGTTATTATCTATAGAAGTGAAGAAGATAATGTATATTACATTGAATGTGATTCACAAGCTGTAGGTCTATTACAAAAGCATTTAAAAATGTATCGCGTTAGGAGAAAAATAGACATAGATAATTTAGGTGATACTGTAAATGTTTGGGTATTTTTTGATCCTCAAAGTATAAATAATAAACATAGTGATGAGAATAGGCAGAAGCTGGAAGGTTTAATATTTCCATGTGGCACTCTTAATAACAAAGTAAGCAAAGTAGTTGATGATATTATGATATACGAAGATCCTAGACTTTCTGATTTAGGTATCAGAATCTTAGCTGAATCAAATGTTAAGAAAGATCAAATTACAAAACATTTGAATTTTGATATATTAGATTCTACCGATAACATAACCTATAAAGCATTTCGCTATAAACTTGGAATTCCTGAAGGTATTGAGGACTTACCACCAGGAAAGCCTTTACCGTTAGAAGTAAATTGTGATTATATGCATGGAGTTAGTTTTCATAAAGGCTGTTACATTGGTCAGGAACTTACAGCACGTACTTATCATACTGGTGTTGTAAGGAAACGTTTAATGCCTTTATTATTTGACAAAGTTCCTAACAAATCTTTTTCGTATGATGATAAAATTATCAATGAATCTGGTACAGCAGTAGGTAAATTTAGAGGAATTGAAAAAGTATATGGATTAGGCTTAATGCGAATTGTTGAATCACTAAATGCTCAATCTCTTAGTTTATTAAATGTTAAATTAAAAGTATCAAAACCTTCTTGGTGGCCGCAAGAATCTCAGATAGAAAGTGCTTCTGCTAGTAAAAAAGAATGAATATTTGTTTTCATGTTAGACCCATTTTTGCGCTTGTATGTACGAAGCTGTAATGTATAAAAGTAAAATAAACTTATTGTGAGAAAGAATTATAGTGTTTCCCAATCCATGTTACCTTATAGGATGGAATGTATCGCTAGTACATCTACCGATGAAGAACGAACTATTCAGCACAGCCAAGGTATAACTTCAACAGTTAAGGACACTAAAGAAACCACAACTGGATTATTTAGATGCTCTTATTGTTTATTAGAAGAACGTTTTGATTTTAAAGGCATCAAACCACCATTTGCACGACAATTAAATTATTTGGAAGAGTGTTATGTTATGAAAGATCCTTTTAGTTTACCAAATAAAGGAGAAGTTTTAGTATTAGGAGCTGATTGTCAGTTTTGTAAGAAGCCTGTATGTTTAGGGTGTAGTGTGTATTTCGGAAGAAGGTTTTGTGTAAAATGTGCATCAAATAATATACAAAATTTACCATCACAATTGCATCCAAAAATAAAAAGTTTAATAAAAAGTACAGATTCATAAAAATAATATTTTATTAAACGTTGAAATACTTCCATTTTTTATACTTGAAATATACATAGTGACAAAACCTTGCAAACGTCTAATTCTTTCAATTACATATTTCTCCAGTTTTAAAAGTATTAAGATGAATTGTTGCATCTGATCAGTATCGCTATTAGATTAGTTAAATGTAAATATTAAAATTAAGTTATTATTAAAATATATATGTTAGCAGTATGTCTTTAATGTTACCATTCACTTTGATGGTTTCTTAGGTTTAGCAGCAAGTTTTTCTGCCATAATTTTCTTTTTCTTATCTAACTTATTTTTTCTCCTTTTTTTGCTAGCATCGGCTTTTTGACCTTGAAATGCGTTACCTTGTTGCGGACTTGTTTGTGTTTTTCCAAGTTTTTGTTCCTTTTTAGATTTTTTCTTCATAGCAATTGCCTTATTACGATCCTGGAAATTTGCAAATTATACGAATTTTGTCAAATAATATAATTTAAGATAGAATTCAAAAAATGAAATAATAAGAATAACTTACCAATACTATTGCTTCAATACTCTTTTTTCCCTTTTTAGGTGAAGTATTCTGGGCACTTTCTCGAGAATGTGCTCTTTTTCCACGTTTGTCTTTTGCATCTGTACCTTTTTTGATGATATGGGGTTTTACTCTAACTTCTCGGTTTAACATTGTTGTACCATCAAGTTCTAATGCTAATGCAACAGCATCTTCAGTCTTAAAATTAACATACCCAAATCCTTTCCCTGCACCAGTCGTGTTGTCTTTAATTATACGTACAGATTCTATTTCACCACATTGTTCAAAATGATTTCTAATTGTGCTTTCCTCGATACCTAAAAATTCCAGTATCATTTTATATTAATTAATTTTACGATCATTTTGTATTAATCTTACCAGACTGTATATGTTATACTTACTGAATTTTAAGTTGCCCAAAAATACACTTTTTTTCCCATCAAGTTTGTCCTCTGTATCATTAGTTAAATCTATTCTTAAATGATTTCCTTTAAATACAGTTCCATTCAGAGATAGAGCTGCTTTAACAGATTCCTCAGTATTAAATTTAATATATGCATAAACAGTTTTCAATTTGGGATGAATATTTTTAGTCATTGCTGCAACTCTTTTAGACATAGCCACAGTCTTTGATACTATACCCCTTATGCGTACAGTCTCAATTTGTCCACAATTTTTGAACATTTTCAACAATGCTTGCTTTGTTACATCACTTGGAAGATTACCAACAAAAACTGTTCTTTTGCCTTCATTTTCATTTTTATTACTATTTTCATTTTTTCTTGTATTTTGAGGTCTGTTATTTCCTCCTTCTTCACCTTCTTCTTCATCTTCATCACTTATATCATCATCCTCCTCATTTTCCCCTGGTGCAACAAAGTCTTCATCATCATCATCATCATCAGCAATACTATTGCTCAGAAGTGCTTTTAAACCCAGAGCTGATTCATCAGCCTCTTCTTCATCTTCTTCATTTTCTGATTCTGCATCCTCTTCGGATACTAGATCACTATTATCTACATCATTATCACCACCATCATCATCATCATCATCATCATCATCGTCATCATCATCATCATCTTTATCATCATCTTCATCATCAGTTTGTTCTTCTTCTTCTTCTATTTTAGTGTCATTGGAATCATTGATGGAATCATTACTCTTATCACTTAATCCTTTAAACATTTTAACTCCTTTTTTCACTTGAGCCTCTTCTTTCTTTCCTTCTCCCTCATAATCATCATCATCTTCATCTGATTCATCTGCTAAACTGGTCCCAAGAATATTTGGTAGCTTTTTTTCTTCTTCACTTTCATCATTATCAGATTCTTCATTTTCACTATCATCACTTTCTTCTATTATGCTTTGTTCACCTAATACAACTCCTTCGTTAAAATCTGCTTCTGAATCAGAATCAGAATCATCTTCATCAGCCTGTACTAAATTAATTTTTTTACTTAATATTCCTTTCTTTTTCGATCCTTTGTTCTCTTGAGATTTCTGAGATAAAGTACTATTCTCTTTCTGTTCTTTCATATTATTGTTATTTAACCACTTAGATCCGTTAATTAACGTTATTTTGCCAGTTGGTGTTTGTTTAAACTTTTGATTCTTTTTTTTCTGTATAAATCCGTCCTTTGGTGTGTTCAAGAGGTTTCTCGAAATCGAATCTTTGTTTTCCATCGACATCGATTTAACCATCTTTTTACGGAAGTCACGTTTATAGTTTTATAAAACTGTTACCCTGTTATAATTGCGAGAAACGATTAAAATTTCATAAAAAATTTAAATTTAGTGATGTCACAGGGTTAATATTCCACGTGCACTACATTATACAGAGGGTAAATCGAAGATAAATTAATATAACAAATAAAGAGATAATATGTTAAGATATTTTGAATGATATGTAATATTTAGCGATGAAATGTAAATGAAATGCTTACCGCACGTGTATTTATACAATTGAAGCTGCTAGGAAAAGTTCACTTCTTACCATGCCGGCTCAAACGGAAAATGTATTAACCGCCAAGAGGAAGAATGAAGTTAGCCATTTTTTGTACGTTCTTTCGGACCTACCAACAAGAGAGAAAACTCTGTAAGATTTTTCCTAAACGAAATTTCCCTATGAGTTTTCACTACCAATTATAATATTGTAGCAATAAACTGAAATTACATTGGAAATTGTTATAAGAATAAAATAATGAAAGTAAAAAATAAAACCACATGCTTTACATATCAAAATGTAATTATAAATGTCAATGCAACGTTATACATAAATCTCTTTTTAGTATGGAAGGAGAGGTTATGTTTCGTAGTATTTTCTTGATCAAAGATTCCGTATTTCTAAGCGATTCTCACAATAAATTGGAACATTAATTGCTGGAATATATTTAGGTAATTTCTCAACGATATTGTATTTTATTAGAACAACAGTTTCTCACAAAATTGCGTCGATTCGTTTAAATGCAAAGTGTCAGAAACATGTTGGATTTTATTTTTTACCTTGCAGATTATATTTCACTTTTCTACAATGGATGGAATAGGATTATTCACGGCTTTCCTTCAAACTCATCAGCCCCAGTTAGAATCTTCTGGAGTGCCAAGAATATTTTGGGAAGTTTTATTCAAGAAACTTCAGTATCAAACTTTTGATTCTGGCTTGGCATTTCAGTTAATAAGAATTGATTACGACGGTGCTGAAAGAGGTCCAAGAGATTCAGTTTGGAAACTTTTTGTTTCTTACGAGGAGGGCATCTCTGCTCAAGATGCAAATAACATTTATTTGATAGATCACGCATGGACGTATGACACTCACAATGCTAGACAAAACCTATCAACTGTACCAGATCTGTTAGACCGTATGTGTTCTCTAATGGATTTTGACATTGAGCAAGATGAAGAAGAAAAGATAGATTTTGTATTGAACGAAATGTGGAGATACAATCAGTCTTTTTCTTTAAGTAGCGGGTCGGTAGAAGATAGAATGCCAATATGGTACATCATGGATGAAGTAGGTTCAGCAATAAATCATAGCAATGAACCTAACTTTAGGACAGTGCCTTTCCTATACTTACCAGAAGGTGTTACCTACACACTTTTATTTCCTATCAAAGATGTCGACTGTGAAGAGGAAGTTACAAGAGATTTTGTAGAAGGTCACACAAATGACCAAACGGTAAGACAAGCATTGTTACTACCTTGGGTAGAATCGTCATTCCTTGGAAGAGATTTTGTACAAGTAGAACCAAGCGAAGACTACTTTCTGGCAGGTCATATTCACGAGACTCTGCCAGAAAAGATGGACCAACAGTTGCATCAAAGAGACAGAAGCACGAAATTAAGAGTTTTCTCCGAGTACACTTATATAAACGACTATCTAACCGATCCTGCATTTGAACTCGTGAACGATGAATCATTGGCTGACGTATTATGGTACGTTTCACACTTTAAGATGTACAAAGAATTAAGCATTCGTTCCCCGCACGTTTTCGTAAATCAATTTCCATTCGAAAGCGTTCTCACTGTGAAAGATTTGCTATCGATCCTCTGTCGGAGAAAAGTAGGGGACAAATCCTACGATCCTGATACACTAGAAACCTATCCAGAGTGGATGCCAACTACTTACAATTTGAGCACAGAATTAGTCCAATTCGTAGCGTACTTCGAGCAGAGGGAATCGATAGGTTTAGACAATCATTGGATTTGCAAACCTTGGAACCTAGCTAGAGGATTGGACACTCACGTAACGAAAAATTTGTTCCACATTTTACGATTGCCCAGTACCGGGCCGAAGATAGCACAGAAATACATCACGAAACCCGTTTTATACCAGAGGCCGGAAAACGGTAAAGTTAAGTTCGACGTACGATACGTGGTAATGCTGAAGTCCGTAAAACCTCTAAGGGTGTTCGCCTACAAAAACTTCTTCCTAAGATTTGCGAATAAGGAATTCGCTTTAAATAATTTCGACGTGTACGAACAACATTTCACCGTGATGAATTATTCAGAGGACACTCCACTTTGTCACGTAAAGTGTGCGGACTTTATCTTGGAATGGGAGAGGCAGTACCCGAACTTTTCATGGAGAGACCAGGTCGAGCCAAAAATCTTGCACATGTTCAGAGAGGTTTTCGAGGCTGCGGTCGCTGCGGAACCGCCGAAAGGAATTGCGGAAAGTCCTCAAAGCAGAGCCGTGTACGCGATCGACTTGATGCTCGAATGGAGACAAGATATAGTAGAGCCTGTTCTATTGGAAATTAATTTCTCGCCGGATTGTAAAAGAGCTTGCGAGTACTACCGAAATTTCTACAACGACATCTTCAAATGCCTGTTCCTAGACGATAACAATCCAGAAGTATTTCACGATCTGTGCACGGAGGTGAATTAAATTCTGTAGATGAATTGAAATACGACGGCCTAAGTGCATGCCAGCCCCATAAATATCGAGAAGCTATTAACGATCGTTTCGTGGTCAGCGTCGTGACCAAATACATTTATTTATTCAAAACCCGGCAAGTCCCGCATCTCGTATGCGGTAATGAGCTGAAGTAGCTCCAGTAAATCTGCATATGCGAACGTTAAGGGTACATTTGCTCCGTAAATAATTCGCGCCTCCCCATAACTTGACGCTACAACGGGAAGACTACCGTGGTACCTAATGGAATAATAAACGAGAGGGCAATTGGAACAGTTTCACGACAGCTCTGGCTTCGGCCACCGTATGACCGTGTTACTTCTATGCACGAGAATACAGAATATACTTAATGCGGAAAGATGTGCATAAACGAATAAACGAATCGTGACTTTTCTTTCAGCATTTTATCTCGAAGAGAAACACGACGAATACACGTTAAAGTAATAAAGGGCAATATTAACGAAACAAACGAAATCAATATCGTATTCATTTCGACTTCGATCCGCCCTTCCAACTTTTATTACTCTCGCCGATGTTTTCCAATTGCTGCAACAATCGCGGACTTGCGGTAGTTTTGAACCGCGAAATCAAATTACCCAGGGGGAGGGAAAAAAAA